AAAATGTTTATTTTGGAATAAAGAGGTTAATATAAACATTTTTTTTTTGTCCGATTAATCGAAAAAATAATCGGCCAATTCATCGATTTTTAAAATAATCGTTATTTGCAGCCCTAATGACCTTTATCTGAAACGATAAATCACACATTATACATCATAATAGTTCATTAGTACACAACCAATGAAACACAAACGGAGTATAAATAAAATATTTCTAACACACAGATTACCAGCCCCTCCCCCGCATTACAGTTTGACGAGGCAAAGAAAACAGCGCCAATCAATCAATTTCTGTAAATAAAATTGTTATTTCAAACTTTGAACCTGTGCCTTGGTCTTTAGGATGAACTAGTCTCTGTTTAAGGGTGTTTGGTTTGAAATATTCTGGGATTTTGTGTTTGGAGAAAATCCTCTTGAGTCTTTGAGAGACTTCAGCAACATATGGGATGGTGATGTTTTTGCATTTAATCTTCTCACCGTTACCTTCTGCTGCGTGTCTTTTGGATTTCCGCCCAGGTTGGGTATCCGCAGGTGTGGAGAGCATCTTTGTGTTTCTGTTTTAGTAGAGACATGCTCGGCCCGCTGCTGGAAGGTTCTGATGACTGAGAGTTGGCGTTCCAGTGGGGGCTGGTCTCTGATCTACGCTTTAGAACTGGGGTTGTATCTGAGGTGGTGTTTTAAAGCTCCTCTGATTCATTTCATACGTGAATAATAATAATAATAATAATAATAATAATAAAAAATCCAATTTGTACCGCACTTTTCATTAAGAAAAATCTCAAAGTGCTATCATCAAAGTGAATCATCTTCCCACGCTCAGCCGGCGGTGGAGATGATGGTTGGCGTATATCCGGCGTGGGCGTGTCAGTGGTGTGATGGAAACGGACTCGGCTGTCTTTTTGAATCAGAGGAGCTCACAGCCAGCTGTCAGGAGTCATCCTCACAACCCAGACAGAAATTAGGCGGGACATTCCCCCCCCCACCGTCACGTGGTCAGACGGATGTGTCTGAGCAGCTGTTATCCAGTGTCTGTGCTTCCAGGTCCATCCTCCCCATCCACCGGGCGTTCAGGGTGCTGGCCCTGGCAGAGCCCCCTGTGGTTGGTGGGGGCTCCGGCAGCAGCAGGGGCCAGCAGCAGTGGCTGGGCCCCGAGCTGCTCACCATGTTCCTCTATCACACCGTGTCTCCTCTGGCCAGAGCAGAGGAGGCGGGCCTCATTCAGGGCCTGGTGAGTCCCACACACTAAACTTACATCCTTGCTTTTGATCTTTTCTTCTTTAATCTGTCTCCGTTTGATGTTTTCCTCAATCTTTAGGCTCCCAGTGTTCCGATGGAGGCAGCGGAGCAGCTGCTTCAGCTCACACACAGCCTTCGTCAGACCAATGACCCCACCGTAAGTTCATCGCCCCTCATCAGTTTTCCTCCACGCCATCAGAGCAACATGCAGGACGTGTCTCCCCCAGGCGCAGTCTCTGGCCTCCTCCCTCTCCACCAGACAGCTCCTGAGGATCTGCCGCCGTCTGTCGCGGTACCCCGAGGAGAGCATCGCTCACGCCGTCAATAAGGCTTGTCTCTCCAGGTGCTTGCAGACTCACACTGCTCCAAACAAGTATCCTCTGACTAACCGCCATGTTGATTAGAGACGGCCGCTCACCTTTCTAGTGTTACATCATTAGGGAGAGCCGCACGGAAGTGGCTGCATGGGGCTGCGGGGATGAGCTCCTATTGAGGGAATTTAGTTCAATATCTTTATTAGTTTACGGTTTGGTTTATGGAAAATTAAAATAGAACAATCCAGACTAAAAAAAGGCTTTAAAATTAACTTTTTTCTCAGATTTCATTTTTTTCATTGTATTTATTTTACATTTTTTTCTTAATCTTTTTTTAATTTCTCAGATCACATCCGTTTCTCTTCTGAGGGCACGTTTCTATTGGTCTGCTGGAGATTAGCTGAAGCCGTTTTATTGGTCCAAAGCGAGCGTTTGTATCGGGTGTGAAGGGAGGACAGCGTTATCTGAGAAACACACTTTAAATACAACTTCATCAAAATTCAGTGTGAAAATATAAAAACTGTAAATATTATATAAAAAATAAGCTTGAAAAAAATTTAATCTGAGACGACAGCAAACATTATCCCCAATAGGTTTTTGATCAAGCAGTTTTTAAAAAATCCTTTTTTTATTTTTCAATTAAAAATTTAGTATATACATATTTTTAACAAACATATTTTTTTGAAACAATAAAGGATCAAACACACTCCATTGGCACTAAAACGGTATCAAATGGCCCCGGGGCCACATTGGACACTCCCCATGGACCTAAAAGCTGTGGCCCTCTTAGCGCTATCATTAATGTTGCATTAACTCTCACTACATGTCCTGGTGGGAGGGGCTAACAGCCTGATCTCACCTGTTCATCTCCTTCACCTGCATCCATCCATCCCTCCATCTTTCCATCCATCCATCAATCATCCATCCATCCCTCCATCCATCAATCATCCATCCATCCATCAATCATCCATCCATCCATCCATCCATCCATCCATCCCTTTGTTCTGTGGTCAATCTAATCTAAAATCTCCCTAATAATTCCAGGTTCCTGCCCAGCTTGGCTCGCGCCTCCTTGGAAAAGGCCCTCGCTAGCAGCTCTGTGCAGGACCCTCCAGATCCTGCTGAACAACCGCGGGACCACAGCTGTGAGTTCCCCTCATTATTGGCTTTTAATGTCTTTATTGTGACATTTAGAGGAAAAATCTTCTTTAAATTTAGAAAGTTTCATCTCGGATGTAGTTTTCTGTGCATTTGAATTGGTTGAAAAAACTCAGTTTTTTCTCAAATCGGATAAAGATTGGAATAAATAATGACACACCAGCCAGAAATAGGTCAAAAGCATCGTTTATCAAAGTGGGATCCTTGATCCACAGCTAGGAGAGAACATTCAGCAGCAGTGAAGCTTCCAAAAGAGTTCAGTCAACCAGAACCACTTCAGGAACTGATCACCACCACAAACCACCCAGAACATCTGCAGCTCCCCTCAGAGACGCTCTTAAGTCCAGAACCACAGCTGACCCAAAAGAACCCAAAGAACCGTCTCCTATTTAGCTTCTCTGGGACAACTTTTTCAGACATTCTGGACGGAGCTATTTTATGCTGCATGGAGATAAACTAACGTTTCAGGAAGAGCTACTGGCAGCGGGAGGGTCAGCTCTGCTCCGTCCAGACCTCCACGACTCACCATGACGGATGGACGCATGAAAACAACATCCAGTCATCATTACAGGACCCTAACCGCCATGACTCCACCATAACGTTAATGCGCACCCTCCATGTTTTCCAGGTGTGGTTCAGGACGGTGTGTTAACCATCGGCAAGGTGTCCGCTCCCGTCTACAACCCCGACCAGAAGATGAAGGTTCCAGACGTGCTCTTCTATGACAACCCTCAGGTAACACCTCAGGCTCAGTGGTTTCTCCGCTCACCTGCAGGGAAAGGAGTGGAGATCAGTCACAGGACATCGGTTCTGATCTACTCAGAGATAATTTCTGTAGGTTTTTACCTTCATCTCAAACAGGAAAAGTTGTTTTAAGGACTATTTATGACTCCTATCCAGTTCAAAACTGCCTCGGCTCTAATTGGTTAACTGATATTAGTTTAGTGAATACGAAGAGCCTACTCAGCCCTGTTAAGATTGGAGGCTTCTGGTTTGTTTTTGTTTGTTATTTATTTTTTTAGTTTTTATGGCACTAGTGGCTCGTTTTTTCGACATTAGGCTGACAGGAAAGGGGATATGAATGAGGCGGAGAGACATGCGGAGAGACCACAGGTCTGATTA